ATGTGTAAAACAATATTTGAGGCCTTTTCTGCATTTTTGTGTTTTTGGCAGCATGTATAATAAGCCTATGTATTTTATGTGCAACCGACACATTCTCCAATCTCTTGTATTTGTACTTTAAACAAAGCATGCAAAGCATGTTCTACACATTATATTTCACTGATGTAAAAAGAGAGATGAATTCTTAAAGTGAGAAATAATACATTTCCTCAATATAAGCTCAATTTACGGATCTCTTTCTAGTAAATTGGAGAAAAGGCTTATTTTGTTATTTTTCCTTGCTGTGGATGGCCTTATGTTTAATGACAAGAAATTGTAGTTAGCATGTTAGTGTCAGCGTCCCCTTGATCGTAGTTCTAATCAAGACTATATCTAGACATTTTGCCAACAGAATTAATGTTAATAATTAGCCTAATAATAATAATAATAATAGATAGCATTTGTATAGCGCATATCCCCGCTCAGCAGCAGGCTCTATGCGCTTTACACTATATTATTACCCTAGCAGACCATAGAACACTCCGAAACATTCTCAGCTTCCCTGCTTCTCAGCCTATTGTTATTATCAAGTGTATTGTGAGCGTGAAGACCTAGTAGCCTACTAGTCCCATCCCATCATTAAAAAAACAAACCAGCAACACAAAAACATTGTAACATTGCCAATTATGACATATTGTTGGCAATAAAAATGCACTATTTCACTATATTTCCCCTTCGAAGGCAGTTTTAGAATACTGATGTAAGGTGTCTTCCAAGCCCTAGCACTAGCATCAGCGTGCATAGCAACGCGAAGCCTTGCTGTGTGGCGCAGCCAAAGCTGCCCTCACTATGTCGCCATGCTTTAGTTTCAATTCCTCACAGCGAATCAGCGATCGCGAAGAGAGGAGTTCCGCTTCTATGAGTGTAGAATTCTGTGGTTTTAGGCCTTACTGAACGTGTAATATAGCACTTTACGGGCTCACACGGGATGTGATTCGTTTATAACCTCTTGTCAACGTCACCCCAAGTGTTAACAACATTGGTTTTCATCTTGTGTAAACAGAGCGTAACAAATCACCTGAGTGATTTTAAGTACATTTTGTGCGTAAGATGAGTTGTTTTCAATGTATATCGAGAGAAAACTATACCAACACTTCGAACGTGTGCTACTTCCGGTTCGTGATTTTCCTCATCTTCGACACTCGAGGAGTCTCGTTGATTTAAGTCGCACAGTCAAATATTCTCATTTTCAGCGCAATTATTATAGTTTAGAAAACAATCATTATAGTAGAATAGAGTAGGCCTTGAGTCGGGTAACTTCGCCACTCTCAGTTGACTCACGACGAAAGTAGGCTACATCCCCTCTATGCTCAACGTACATGACCCCTGTTTTGTCTGCAACTTTTCGTCTTTCTTTCTTTCTTTCTTTTATCCACCGCTTATACCCTTTTGGGTGTCGCGGGAAAAAAGAGACGTCTCTCTGTCACCAGCCAGAGAGCTGGGGTCAGGGGGATGCCGTGGGTGGTTAATGTTTCCCTGACTCCATCTATCCAGGTCTTTCTCGGTCGTCCTCTAGCCTTGTTGCTATCGAATTTTTTTTTATGTAGGCACGTTGTGCTTAGTGGCATGTTGGTAATCGCATGAGGTGTCCGAACCATTCGATTCTTTGGTGTTGTATATGATGCATGACATCCTGTGCCCACCATTTCTCTGATTACTGAGTTTTTAATAAATGTTGTCTCGCCTTGTCTTGTTTACTGCTTTTCTAAGGCATCGCATTTCACATGTTGTAATTCTTTGCTCTAATGTCTTGTTCGTGGTTTTCGTAGCCAATAAAAATGCAGATAGTCCACTGATTGGTTTGCTTGCTAGTCGTACTTCACCTGCTTCGTTCTTTTTTCAAGTGGATGTGTGGACGAGGAACTTTGCAACCACATCCGGGAAATTCGCTATACTGAGAGATCATCTTATTTCGTTGTATGTAGATTATTAAACACATTTAAAAACTGATCTTTCTTCCAAGGGAAACCTGTATAATTTGCAGCTGCAATCACTTTGTCAACTATTTTATTTATCTCCCTCCCAGCTCTATTTCCAAAAGTAGACCGACCAGAGACATCGTTGGCAAGAGGTTTTCTGGGAACACTAAATTCTCGGGCTGCTCCAGAGCAGCTTTGTTCACCTTAAACAGCATATTATAAACAGCTTTCTCCAAATCACTTTATACAGTTTGGCATTCTTGTTATTGATTTCCTTGCTTGTTTTTCCCATAATAATAGTGGTAAATCAAACTAAAATAACAAATTTTTAATGGGAATTCAATAGACCTGCGTGACGAATTTCTCTGACAATAGAGGCAAATTTCCGGGACAAGGTGTAGATCTGTGCAAACACAATTTTTAAACAGTAGAAGGCATACAAACGACAATAAAATGCAGCAAATATAATGTTGAATCAATAAATCAGTTTCCACACAATTAAAATTTGAGTAAAAAGTCTTGTACACGTACAGCAACGGTAGTCAGAAAGATAAAAAAATAGCGCAGGCGTAGCAGCGATAGGGCAAGAGAGTAGGAAAGGGAAGCTTAGCGGGAGAACGCATGTTTAGAAAACCGCCATTTTTCTTCGGCTTGACAATTAATTTTTCTGATAGGTTGATCAATTTTGATAAAGAATTGTTTCTGGTCTCAAGTAACTAGGCACTTATTAAATTCTTCCTTGGTGGGCATATCGAATTATTCCCATTTTAAATTGGTAAAAGGGGGGGGGGGGGCAGGCTGCGAATCCCACCCCTCGGGCGAAGTTACCCGACTCAACTCTACATTTGTTGGGGGGTGACAAAATTTGTGCAATCTCTCTCTTGTGAAAAATATAGTTTTTAGAAATGTTTCTGTCATTGACCTACTACAGTGTGTTTTAATTTTTAAAAATTAAAAAAAAAATGTTTTGTGTGCCCCCCTACCCCCCCCCCCCCTCATGTCCTATGGACACAATTGACATAATTTAGGAGTCGGGCTTCCGACCCTGTGTTTCAGGGCCGTCCCGGGCCGAGAGGGATAAAACAACCCTGTAGAAAGACCGAGATACTTGATAAAAATTCTCCCCAACCAAGAATCGAACTCGTGTTTCCTGCGTGAGACAGCGAAGCACCTAAGCGCTGGACAGCAGACACAGGTAGAGTGTTTTAAAGTATTTTTGGCAACTAAAATAAATTACGAAAACGAAATTTGTGTTCCCGATTTGGGTTTCCCTGTCCTGCAACCCTCTATTCTCCACCACTACCAACGCCAGCTTTCCCGTGAAAACGTCTTTTGTCGAAAATGGCCTAGAAACACCCACCCTCCCCTACTCAAACAGTTACCCGCCGTCCCGCTACCCAGAAAAAATGATCTCCTTAGAAAACGGTTGTGAATAGCCGAAATAGCTAAAGTTTTGTTAAAGGAACCCCGCCTCTTTTCTTGTAGCAGTTGGTGTTTATTTAAAAGTTGACAGAAGCCATCTCAACGCCTGTCTCTTTCAGAGCTTGGCTGCAGCGACTACTGTACTTTGTTAAGCAGTATTTGAACGTGTGGCTCGGGACGATGGCAAACTACCGGCGTCTTACTGTTGCTCTGCTTACTGTACTCTTTTTGCCAATGATTTGCAGAGCTTGTTCTAAGTCATCGCCCAGGCCGATAGAGTATGAAAAAAAGCTGTGTAAATACAGAACGCAAATCATGACTGGCTTTCCAAACGAAACCATATCTGAGCAGTCTTTGAAAAATCCCTCGTGTTCTACGGCATTCTCTTCCGTCTTTGAAACCAAGACCTCTGTGGAAGACTGGTCGAAAGTGCTTGATAAGAAGAACAGGTGGGCATCTTGTCCTCAGGGTCATTTCTTGCAAGGATTCAAGTTCATAAAAGGGGGGTCAGGCGTGTCGTCGCTGGAAGGGGGGTGGTGTGTGAAATTCAACAAGTTGTCGAACGTGTACGACCACTGTTATCTTCAACACACTAAGACATCCACAAACTGCAGCGTTGACTACTTTCTGACAGGTATCTACCGGGGGGACTGTTCGGACTGGGCCTGCATATCCAAATTGCAGTGCTGTACCATGACATCTTCCTTTACGGTAGATTCTGTTGAAACTGGTAAGGAAAAAGTCATGATGCAGTCTCTTAATGGACTGGCTCAACTAGCGTCGAGTTTGGGCTACAATGGGGTCAAGGGTTGTGATGGAGAACTGCCTGGAGACAACTTTGAGAAACATGGATACTCCTGGGTCGCAACGAAGTGTGCGGGAGATAACAGTCCCAAGTTGAAAACCACGTTTGATGACTGGTCAGTCAGCCTGAATGATATCAAATACTCGCAAGCTAAGACAACTGAGCTATTACCACAGACAATAGACAGGGGCGTTTTGGTGAATGACAGTCCCACGACAGTTACCGAAAAGATAATCAGAAATGATAAAAGTATCCGTACTGTGACACACTCGCTAACAAGTTCTTGGAAAGTATCTGTTGGCTTTGAAATGGAAGTGACATACGAACCTCCACTTTTCACTGGAGGAGTAGGGGGTAAATTCAGCTTTAGCATAAATACGGAGACAGGAAAAGAAACACACGATGGAACTGAGAACTCCCTAGATCGGTCGATTCAGGTGGAGAGGGAGAAAACAATGGGACCTTATTCGGCATCTGAATGGGTGGCCAGGATGTATAAAACCCGCACAACACAGTATTACAGGGCAACATATCGCCTCGGGTGCTCGGTCCAGTTTGATGGGGATCTACGGAATATCAACTATCACAAAACTACACTGGACAGTCTGCTAGCAATGTCAAGTATCAGTTTGGCGATGAAGACAAGCCGTTTTACGTTGCTGTGAAAGAGGAGAGGGACCACTGGCACGATCCTTGGTTGTGGGGTGTTTTGATCGAACAAAACCCGTGGGTGAACAACATCGTGGCATATCTGGCGTCAACAGAGCAGTATGAGATAGTGCTGGAAGGAAAATTTGATGACATTCAGGGATACAGAGTAGAAATAGAATTTGGCAACCACACTGACTTGCCCCGATCGGAACTCAATGGTGCTCACGCCGTGCCTAGTGTACATTTCAGAAGGGAAGTGGGAAAAGGACATGACAAAGTCATTGTCGCAAAAGAGGGACCCCGAGACGCTCCTTCTGGCTTTACGCCCGTTTTCAACGAAAAGGTAAGTAATAATTTCTAATACTCTTCTCTTCTATATGCATTCATTCACCTCCTTGAAAAGCTGTCCTTATACAAGAAGCTGATTGTGTTCATAAGCTGTGTTTCTCTGTTTGTAAGGAATGAGCATCAATACAGCATTTAATTTTGTTTCGCTCGCTCGCAAATGAACTGCATCTATCATTTACTATTAACAAACGTGCTGAGCTGAAGCTATAAATTAACCCCGTGACTCTTCCCCCCCCCTCTCCGTTTCTCGCTCTCCCTGTCTCTCTCTCCTTATCTCTCTCTTTCTCTCTCTCTCGCTCTCGCTCTCTCTCTCTCTCTCTTCTCTCTCACTATCTTTTCACTCTAGATCTATATCTATTTCTATCTACCTCTCTCAGCCCCCCCCACACACACGCACACTCACACACACACACTCACACACACACACTCACACACATAGTCTCACATACACACACACACACAACACACAACCACACACAAAACTACTCTATCTCTCACGTAAACACGATATTTCTCTCTCATGCGCATGTACAGGCACCGACCTACCTACCTACCTACCTACCTACCTATCTACCTACTTGCTTACCTTCCTACCCATTAAACTACCAAACTACCTATTATCAACCTGCCTACTTACTCACTTACCAATTTATATCTACAATCTACCTATCTACTAACACCCACACTATATACAGTGGCGTCCAAAAGAATCTTGAAAATGTAATCACCCAATCATGAACATTGATAGAATGGACATGTATGAATATCAAATGAAATGAGAATATTATTGTCTCTGCAATGAACAGCATTATGATAATATTTTCAAACAGATTAGAAAATAGAGTAATTTGAAATACCCTTCAAAACTTGGACTAATCATTACATGTGCTCATTAGTAATAATTTTGTTTTCGTTTAGGAGCTAATGGTTTCGTGTACAGCTCGAAACATTTTTTGGTAAGTGTTTACGGCACTCGCAACTGCATGAGGTAATATGAGCCCGTGGGACACATTAAACTTTTTCAGTTGGTAGGAAATTTTGAATTTTGCCCGGGTGAGGGCTGAAGCCTACTCTTATCGATTTTGGACCACCAAGGGATCTATAAGAGGCGCAACTTGCGCTCAGGACCCTCGAGATTTTTGGCCCTTGTCTGAGAAGGTAAGGTGTAGATCATTCCTACCAGAAGATCAGGGGTGTGGCTGAAAGACAGCAATAAAAAGAAGCCAAGGAGTAGCAGTAGAAAGGCTGCAGAAAGAGTCAGGAGCCTACAGAAGGGGGCAAAGGAGGTGAGGGGGGGGGAGGCGGGAAGGACAGTGGAGAAGAAAGCAGACGGCAGATCAGTGCTAGAGAGCAGGAAATGAGGCGAAAAGAGACAATTTTAGAGAAGAATAGTTTTCCGTCGCTACTCGGTTTCGAACCCCGGATCTTTGAATGAGAGGCGAACACATTTACCTCAAGGCCACGAGAGCCCCCAAACCTGTGTTGTTATGTGATTTTGGACAATAATCTTGTAGTGAGAATGAATGACAAAGAAAGAAGTTTTTCGTTGAATCAACACAATTCGACAATCTCATTTTAGACATCTGAAACGAGACAGAACCAACATGAAATAGAACAAGTCAGAAATTAAGCTTCATATACACATCAAATCTGTCGGTGAGGACCAGAGGCAACGAAACTGACATGGTTTTGGGTGGTCTGGGGTGGAATGAACCGAACTGCCATCGTGTGAATCACTGGATGGCTTGATTTAGTGGACTACATCGCAAAAGTGCTGGAACGTCATGTCTTACACATATAAATTCATCATGGTGTTATTCAAGTAGAAATCTCGATTCATGACAAAGCACTTTCTCACAGGGTCAATGCCACTAGACAATTCTTGAAAAGCCAAATCATATCAACGTTGGAGTGGCTACCAGCCCTGATATGAATCTTACTGGAATGTAATAGTAGCTGAAGAAAATCGACTTTGCTCTCCATTCGGACCATTTGTTTGCAACTGTCTGTGACATTTGGGGTGAAATGACAGATACGTGTGTTCAAAATTTAACAGAGCCGATGTCCAAAGGGTTCGTGACTTACACAAAACTCATGGCTCCTAAGCAAAGTAACAATGAGCACATAATGATAAGTCCAAGTTTTGCGTGGTATTTGTGATTGCTTTGTTATCCGTTTTGTTTGAAACCGTCGAAATAAAATATTGTTTATTACAGAGACAAAATTCTCCGTTCATAAGATATGCAACGTATGTCCACTCTATCAATACTGAGACTCCCCAATACACCGCGAGAAGACACG